GTCGCCGTCGCCGTCGCCGTCGCCGCCGCCGCCGTCGCCGTCGTCGTCGTCGTAGTCGTAGTCGTAGTCGTAGTCGTAGTAGTAGTAGTAGTAGTAGTAGTAGTAGTAGTAGAGTAGTCGTCGTCGTCGTGGTGGTGGTGGTAGTAGCAGCAGCAGCAGCAGGAGCAGTAGCAGAGTGACACGACAGGGTGTGGGTTTGTGGGAGGGTCCGACAGGCGAGGCCCCTGTCATAGCCTCTTTGGGATGTCTGACTAAAAGATCAGGCCGCAAAGGGCCTGCAACAGCCTTTAAGTTCTTCGATGTATCAGAGCTAAAGGCCCGCCCCACAATGCTCTTCTTTTCTTACTCGCCACATGCGCCTGAAGAGCTAGCTAGCTCCAAGCACGCCCGAGTCCGCCTTGGCCACCACTTTGTACCCAATGCCGTTGAAGTCGCGAAGCCTGGGCTCGCGCTAGGTTGGAAAATCTGCAGGGAGCTGTCGGCTGGAGCTCTCTGCTAGAAACTTCGCCCACCATGACGTCCCGGAACAACGCATGTGCCGAAGCTTTACCATCCATAGCTGAGGCCCTGCGGCCCTAAGAGCAACCCGACGGGGCTGAGCAGCGAATCTCTCAGCCGGGCAGGGTTGACCCGGAAGTCCTGGGACCAGGAGTCAACGGCTGCTCTGGTTCATGCCTGGCTTCGTGGGCATTTGCAACAGAAGCATCCTTGCTGATATACTCTTCGTCGAGTCCCATTGCCGCATGCGATCCCCCGAACTGGTCCTCCACATTGATAGACCAGGCAAGCAGAAGTTGCTCCGCTCCATCCATTGGGAGTAGAAAGCTGCTTCCGGGAGGTGGATGGGTGAAAGTCTTCTGGAACAGAAGCCGTTTGGCTGGCTAAGGAGATGTTCGCACAGTGCTTTCGGGAGGACAGCCTGAGCCGACAGACTCGACCACAAACCAGCAAGGAAGAATCCCCAACACGGACCCGAGACGTTGCTCGTTCTATGATGCATCGAGAACCAGAATGATGACCTAGTCCGGGAATACCTAAACTGTACGACCACGAACAAACTGCCACCGTTGCAGTGCCCGCACGCCCTGTCACCTGCTACAAAACCTGACAGTCTGGCAAGAACTGCGGGTGTGTTTATCCGCCGCAGGCACGGTACGTTCCTCTCAAGATCTTTTCGAGACCTAGAAAACCCTCTGTACACATTTGATTCAATGGCTCTTAAATGCAACAGGTCCATCAAGGCATGAAGCTACAGAACTTGAGAAAAATGCTCCACGAGGTTCGCAGAGACGGAGAGGAGAAATCACCTGGCACTGGCAAAAGCAGGATTGTGCCAAAGGCTGTGCGAAGCTCGGCTGGGCTCTCGTCTCAGGCTTATCCTGATGCTTCTTGGCTAGTCCCTGGTCTCTGGGCCGGAGGGCCCCCCACCACCCCCCCCCCTGCCCAAACAGTCTCAGCGGCTTCGCGTACTTGTTCTTGGCCAGGGAGTAGATCAGAGTGCCTCCGCTCCCCGGATCCCCGGATCTCCTCTGCGTCTGTCTACTGCATCCCTGGGCCAGGCCTAGGATGGCAATGCTGCTGCCCAGCACGCCCAGGCCCGTCACCGGATTCCGGAAGACGAAGATGGCAGTGATGATGATCACTACCTGACATGCCCCGTCCCCATCTCCTCCCTCTGCACTCGGCTGGGGGCCTCTAGCTCGAGCGCCCTGCGCTTGCTTCCCGTGGGAAGCCAACCACTAGCTAACCAACACAACTGGGTCAGGGTCAACCCATGTCGACTCTGGCAGTCCTGACCACGATAACCCAGGCTACTTCTTCCACTACACTAGCCCCAGGCGCCCTCGGCAGAGGGCGACGAGCACATGACACGTACATCCCCGGTCCCGCCGTCCGTCTCATCCCCGCTCACATCCCTGAGGCTCCCGGCTCGCTTCATGGTGTTGCACACGGCGTGGGACCTAAGGAGCTGTCCCACCAGCACTGAGACAGACACTATATAAATTATAAAACTATAGGCTGTGGAGAAGAGACCAAGGACTACATAAGTAGCATCTAGACCTGCCCCAAAACCTCAAAACCGAGAGCCTGCGAGCGTCTTTCAGCCCGGTCACACGGGGTCCAGCTTGCCCAACGCCAGGAATGCTACCTCGTTGTACATGTAGTAGTAGAAGCCACCTTGGCACGGATGGGCTGTGGCTTCATCTGCCGAAATCATGAGTTCGGCATCAAAAACCTGTGAAATACAAACAACATCAAACAACAGTTGCTGAGCTCTCATCTGCTCTGAAAGGCATGACTGTCAAGCCAAGCGGCTAAGGATCATCCTGGGAGCAAGGATGCTTGGATCCGCACTGGTACACGGCTTCTAAACCTAAGAGACCCTGCACGAAATCATGATTCTCGCGGTGTATGCTGGCCTTCTGTCTTACTCACTGTCAAGTTAGCTTCGCGAAACAGCTCCAAGTCTGAATAGTGCGATTGCTGTCAGGCTTCTGCCACATGAAGGACATGCCTCCTGCGGAGTAGGCAATCTTGAAGCCTTTCAGCATGGCCTGAGGTTGCTGCACTTGGCGAGTGTCGGACAAAATCAAAATGCCACACATGGCAATCTCGCAGCAACAACGCAGAATTCAACAAGCCCTGATGACCAACAAAGAGGGAAGGCTGTGCGTTCCAAAGAGCGCTTGGCCCCTCAATGAGGAGGGAGATTGGGATCAGCATGAAGGTCGCCATGATGGTCAGAACCTCAGGTTGCCATCGAGTGCTCATCGACCTCTGAGTCTTGATCATAGAACCAAAACGTCTGGTCTGCAAAGGTGAATTCTGAAAGGTCGAAAGTGCCCTGTCGGCTAACTCTACAAGTTTATCTGGCGTTCATATTGTTCCAGACTACCCGTGGATCATGGTGCACTACGGCAGTAGCTCTGATCCAGCAAGCTCCTGTAGCCTCTTGGTCAGCCCATATGGGAACTGCATCTGCAGCAGCAGCAGCAGGAGATTTGAGCAGTGTGCTGCATCACTTCATCTGGGTCCTCGGCTGCGTACACGTTCGCTGAGTCCATGTTCTCACCTCATGGCTGCAATGATTTCTGCAATCGCAAACTACTCGGCGGCTCAGCCCGCGTCTGGCCAGCCACTGAGGCCATTGCCAATGTCGCCCCCGCTCATGACCTGCCGCTAAGAAGCTTTTGCCGCACGGCTGACATCACAAGTTCGCACCCGCTTCTTGCACCTTCTTGCTGTAGACTGCACGGGATGCAGATCCCAAGTTCGAGCCCATGGCGGCCCCGAAGCACAGCCTCAGATGCTAAGGTGGCGAGGTTCCTCGCCTAGTCCGGATTGGCTTTCATCAGCGGAAGGAGCATTGGGCTACCCTTCGGCCTGTCCAAGAACCCTCTTGTGCTGCGCAAGCTGCCAGTTGAAGGACAGCTCCGAAGCGCTTGCCAGGCCAACACCACCGATGATGGGAAGCCTGGGCTGACGGAATTCAGCTTGATCTTTCTTTCTCTCTCCTGTGTCTCTATCTGTCTCGGTCTGGTGGTGGTGTCTCTGCACCGGCCAAGCCAAGCCAGAGTGTATCAAATTGCAACTTTTCGAGCCGACAGGTCAAGCTGCAAACACCCTGTCTGAGACCCAAGACGCTAACCCAAAACTCCGAACCCTGGCAATGCCCGAGGCAACAGTGCCACAAGGCCAACCCCTGAAGGGATATCCTGTCATCTCTGTGTCCGTTTGTTGCCCCGACCGCCCGGAATTGAATTCGTCGCCTCCCGTCGAAACGTTCGTGCCAATATCCCCCAGTGCATCGGCATAGCTCGGATGAAAACACTGAAATCGATCCGTTAAATCAATATTTCCGACCATCATGAAGTTTAGATCACCACGCATGTTCTCGTTCGCGTAAAGCAGTGCTGGAGGAAGCACTAATGGGCCAGCCCAGCCCAACGGCTCAGTCGCCAAGCGGCAGAGAAGCGTACACTTGCCAAGGCATCACCTTCGAGACCAAGTCTCAGGCAAGTGCCAGAAACACGTTTGAGCAAGGAAATATGCTCTGCACCCAGGCACGGGTATGCTTGAACTGCAAATCGGACAACAAGCGACACCAAGCTGAAAGCTGATAAGAGAATGTGCACTGCCCGTTCGAAGCAGCTTGGGGCTTCGCCGTACATTACAACATAGCCGGATGTTCGTGCGAGAACGAACCAAAGGAACACCTCAAAAGGAGTACCCCAGGTGCACCTAAACTACTAGTGACACTCCATGGAAACGATAACGACCGCTCCGGCTGCCCACAGCTCCCACATCCCCCACACCCCCCCCCCCCCCCCGGCCTCGCCCAGGAAGGCGAAATTCAGGAAGGAGGAGACCACCGGCTCAGAGGCCTCGCACGCTTTGGGGCTTCTGCTGAAGCTTCTTCGCAGATTTCTGCGTGGCTCATCGTTCCAAAAGTCGCAGATTGGCGTCGCATCAAAATCCAGACACTGAGAGGCTCCAGGACGTGCCTTCACGATGTGGCCAAAGGAGACCGCCCCAGCAAAGAAGGCGATAACCTGAGAGCGGGGCTGGTTTAGAGACTTGCTCCTTCGATGCCTATAAGCCCAGCCCTAGGCTCCTGGCCGCACCCACGTGCGTCGCCAGGTGACCCACCCTTTGCATTGTGGCATGGAGAATCTTGTCATGCAGCTTGGAGACGACTCAGTCTCGCTGAAGCGTGTTCTGTCCCTCCTGTCCGGGCCCCGCACGCAGAGGGCGCCAGCGTCACGGCTTGGGAAACGGAGAGCTTCGGAGTCTGCAGGCACAGGGCCAGCCACGGGCAGAAAAGCTGCAGACGGCGTTGGCTGGAATGCGATCTTCAGGCCTTGCGGATACGAAGGATCCTCAGGTGGTGAGAATGCAAGGGGATGGTGGGAGTAATCAACAGGTCTGTCGGGGGGGAAACCTCGTCTCAGCTGAGGCTCCAAAGAGGCACAAAAATCAGCCATCCGAAGGACATCTGCCAAAGTGCGCACGCCCAGGGGAAGGGGTACGAAATCCTTGGTCACCAGGACATCGGACCACTCTCACCGGCCCCAGCTTCCATTTTGCCAAAGCACAATGCTTTCTTATTGTAGATGTTGTAGCCTAGGCGGGCGAGGCAGATGACTGCGAGTTCACTGGATTAACGCTGTCCACCTTTCATACAGCCACAGCCGGGCATGCACAGGCACGGTGTGAAAAAGCTTCTGTGCTTCGCGCAACGGATGATGTGCAAGAGTACCTTCTGACATGGTCATCGCTCATCTGAGGCCGAGGCCAATGTTAAAGGCATACCACAACACGATGTAGACGATCACGCCGAACTTGTCCTTACACGGGCTCAGGGCTGCAGCAGTTTTGAACTAGTCAAACACAAAGCCGCAAAACCAGGAAGAACACTGTCGGCCTCACACATCCAAGGCACCATTAAGCTCTTCTCCTTCTTGCTCTCTGTCGGCTCCTTTCGCACAACATCAAACTCACAGGAACGAAGAGCAACTGCTGAAAAACGCCGAGCAAAACATGGCAGTGCAGATCCTGCTCTCCAGACAGGTACGATTGAGGAATTCGACAGACGGCAGCTCACTCCCTCCACCCCCTGCTTCTGCTCCTGCTCTTGCTCCTACTCCAACTACCACAACTACTGCTACGCCAACGACCACTACGATCGCCACCACGACGCAACTCACACCATGGACGCCTCCGCTGCCGCCTCCGACGCCTCGGAGGCTGCTCGCATGGCGACCTGTGCGCTGCCCGCGAGATGGTGTGCTGGGAGATTTCGTCGTAGTATCTTTACACTGTTCCTGTTCCGAAAATATATTTTACAAACCATGATAGGGCTAGCAAGCGTGATAACGGTTCGGATAGTGCTAGTAGGCTATGATGGACATGTCAATCACGATAATATGCACAACACGAGACGACATAAGTTCGTAAGCATGAAAATCATACTCTCTTTGCTTCTACCAACAATCTCCACGATCACAATCAGAGACAATGAGACTGTAAACCAAAAGGTGGTAGCGACAGGCTATCGAACAGGGAAACAATAAAAACACAGTAGTACTGATGGTAGCATTGATGATGTTGATGAAGAAGAAATGACGCTGGTGATGGTAACGGTGATGGTGATGATAGTTCTCGATATGACGTGGTCGACAGGTGACAAGGTGGACGACGATGATTTGCTATGATGCAATTCATCAGTTCGATGGTGAGAAACACCTTGAATGAATGAATGAATGAATGAATGAATGAGTGAATGAATGGATGTATGTACGCACGTACGTACGTACGTGTATGTACTTACATACATACGTACATACNNNNCATACATTCATACATACATACATTGGCAAGCCCTGGGAATGCTTCAGATTGCCGTCCCGATCCTCTCCGATCCGTTCCGAGCCGATGAACCGTCCCGTAGCGTTCCGAACCGTGCGGAACGGTTCGTAACAGCCGTAATAGTCCGGGACGGTTTGGAACACCCTCACAGCAGCTCCACCCGCTGAACCCCTGACCCCGGGAATGCTTAAGACTGGCTTTGCATCGCATGTTTGATTCTCAGTACACCCTCTTGATGGCTGTTGGGGCTAACCTCCTGAAAGCTGAAATAAGCATTCCCAGGGCTTCCCCATACATACATCTACATACATCAACATACATATACAAA